CTAAAGCGGGTGTTGCTCTGTCGAGCTGCAGCTGTATGAACACCCGAGAGAAATCCGCACATCTTCCATTGCTTCCTCCGTGCACGCTCGAAGTCCTGCCCACTCTCATCTGGATGGATGTCCTGCGGCAGTGACGTGGTCGAGTGATAGCATGTTTGTCGCTCCTTGCAGAGCTTCACGGCTCAAGACCAGTGGCCATCCTGGCTCATACTGCGTGTGTATGAATCTTATATTCTTTGAAACAATTGTTTCCCTTCTACGTGGTGACTTTACCGAAAGAACCAAGAATATAAATCCCTGCAGTCACGAAAGCTTTAAATCAAAATGTATGAATCTTACAAATCGGCGCAGCGTACTTGATAGTGGACCTTAATGATCACGTGACGTTATTAGAAAGAGAGTAGACCACGTGTGCCAGCATCATAGTTTGGATTATCCAGATTTTTTTTACACGCAAACATTTATTTCGATTGGGTAAAAAGAAAACCGAAAGCAACATCGCTTAATAGCGGACAATATTCATCCGTGAAACAGAGCATCTTCATAACGGCCTTGCAAGTGGGTGTAAGAATGGTGCTAATACCGAATCTAACAATTATTTTAAGTTGCGCCAGGGCGTGATGGCGCGACACCGGACGGGAGCACACGCACAGCGTGGCGGTGCCACCATACGGCCAAGTGACCCACATGGGCAGCCACCACCCTCTGTGCGCTGCTCTTCCGCTCGCTCAGTCCCATAATGATGCAACGTTACCACCGTTTGCCACGGCTGTGGGAGCTGCCCTGCTGTGCCATCGCTGAGGCCGCTAGGGAGGAGGAGGAGGAGAACGTGAGCAGTAAACACAGCCACCTGCAAAGCATTGCTTTACAATGCAAAGCATTGCTTTGCATTGTAAAGCAATTGCTGGAATGGAATGCTTTGCAGCCGTGCTATCTCCGCGGCCAATTGCAAACGGGTTTGGCGTCACCGCCTCGCCAGCGAGGGGAAATAGCCTTGCCGACTGCTGTGTTCTGCAAAAAATAGCATACAGTATTTCTATTTGGCACAGATGTGATATTACATCTCAGGCGCACTCATTGTACCATGTTGTCGACTTGTTAGAATTAGCTGTTGCTATCGGCCCACTATGATGACACAAGACTGTGCTCCTACTTAGGGACGTTAAGATTGTGTTTGGTAAATCAATATTATTATTTTACTCAGCTTAAGTGTGCAATGCAAACAAGGTTATCAATGGAACACATTTGTGACATTGTGTAATGTCAGGCAAGAGACTTTAGGCTGGCACACATGATAATGCACCCCTCACTGGCTTATAATTGTGAATCCTGCCTTGCTGTTTGGTAAAAGGGGGGATACATTTTGGTATTTCACATTTATGATAGCAAAAGTACATTTATACGTGAATTAATATTTTCCCGATTTGTAATATGCACAGTATTCACTCACTTTTTTAAGAGAGAGAATGACTTGGAGGCATGAGGAACCACAGACAAGTGGGAAGGTGACCAGGTGGTGAGCTGGCATCAACAATTGCTCAAGCCCTGCATTGCTCTATATATATGTATTTATGTTATCAGCCAATTAATGAGTATGTATGCACGGGAGGAAACTGGAGCACACGGAGAAAAGCTCTGCGTGCAAGGGGACAAACACTCTCCGATACAGATGGAAACATGGAGTCCACGTTTGTTGTACCACTTCATTGTCACATCACGTACTCAAACTAAGCTATTCCGTTTTCCCAATTATTTGATGATTTCGCGTTGACAGTGGTGTAGAAGCACACAAATCAGAATATAACAAATAGACTCAACACAATTTAGGCAATGGCTGTCTTTCACAGGATGTGCTGTTATGTTCTTTGAAAAGCGTCTTTGCCCAATACATTACCTATTATATATTTTTATTTGAAGGCATTGTTATTGACACGTGTGTTGAGTTTTATTTTGTTATATTCGGTAGGCTTTCACAAGGCACTTTAAACAATAAAACTACATAATGCTGCAGTAACTTTAAAAAAATCTGTTTTAAATAAGAGATACATTTTATGAAGTGGCAAATATTAGTGTGAAATAAATTTAATACATGTGTCAATTATATGTATGTGTTTTAATTTGTTCTGCATTTCTTTTAGTATTTGTTTAATATACACTAGCTGCAGAATTTATATTTGAATTTAGTTAAACTATACAATAGTGGTAATGAACATCTCAAGTGCCATTCACGAACTAATCCCTTATAATAAACCTGTCACAATTACGTGTCTTGAAGCTATGTTTCTAATCCAGTGCAAGCATGGATTGCAAGCGTTGATAATTCAAAGTTTTATACACAAGAATTACAACTGGAGCAAATACGGTCATTAATACCGACCCTATTTATATATTATCCCTCCTATCATTTAATTTCCTCAGGGACGTGGCCAAAGTGACCGTGTTGAATATTGGGCCACTTTGAATTCTGTGTGCATGCAGCCTCAGCAACATCGAGACCCATTTACAGACACACCAGATGGCAGGCACAGCTGATGGCATGGTGCAAATATGCAGTAAGGGCATCACAACAGATTAAAGGAAATGTTTCTCATGTTGCAAAATGATAACCTGACAACAGTCGTCGAGTGACGGTGCAGTGGGTAGTAAGCACACCGCAAGATTAACCTGGTGACCTGAGTTCGGTTCCCGGCCAGCATTGTCAAACAGCCATGTGGACCAGGATGGTGAAGTATGGGGAAACAACCTCAATTACAGACTCGGTGTAGGGAGGCTTTCAATCAACAGTGGATTGACAAAGCGGCTGTACAATTTTAGCTATGATTACAACAATGGCTAGAGGTTTTGAAACTTTAGAGGTGTGTGTTTGTCTTTTACTATAAAAGGAAATAATACATTTAGAGAAGACAGTGCAATACAATTTGCACTGAAATATGCATTGTATTGTATGGATATCGTTTAATAATGTAATTGATGTTTTAAAAATAATGCAATTTACCCCAAAATGAGGAAACTATTGTATATGGATTAAAATAACCATTGTGAAAACCTCACATTTTATTTTGCTGCTAATGGATAATAAATCCTGAAAACAAAATTACCAGGCTAACTTACTCATGCGATGAGAGTGTATACATGGGACAAACAAGCACTGCCAATTCTTGTTTTATTCTTATCTAAGGGTGCATACATAAATACGATGTCCCAACAGTGGGCCTTCTCATAAATGCACCCTCGTCTGTGCGCTGGGTTCTGTTGAATTATTTTATGCAGTCACAGCTGAAGTGGTGCATTTACACGAAATTCAAGCCAACATCATTCGCTTAAAATTTGGCAAGATGTTCTCCACAAACATATGAGCCATCAAAGCAAGCATACGGGAGACAAACGTTTACAAGGGCCAGCTGCAATGCGTAGTATCGTCTTTTCATTAGTTCAGAGCAGAGCACAGAGAACCCTTAAGCAAGGCATATTGATCATTGAAGGTGGTGTGATTGGTAACAATAACTGGAATCATGTTCAAGGCTCACAATCTCTGTTTTGGTGGATCTTCGTAAATTGCTATAATTTTAATTTCAATTTGGTATGGCTTTTTAAACATGCAACTTCTACATGGGCATCTGACAAAATTACACACAAGGAGTGTCATTATATTGAGCATTGATGCAGATGCTAATGATCATGCTCTCAACTCGTATGGGTATAGTTGTTCACCATCTAGAAATATGCATCGGGCTGTTTAGTGTTAGACTGCATTGCCAATATTTAAGAGGTTCTACATGGATAGGCGTAACAATCTCGATCTTGAAATCTAGTATAGTGGAAATATTGTAATTATAGAAGAAGAAGCATTGTGCTTCATAACTATATACACGACTATGAAAGGTAAATGTTACCTGGAAAACGTGATGTGAATATCCCACTGTACATTCAATGAATATGAGTATAAACATATTATGAACATATTCTTCTAAATTTGAGCCTTAGTCCTTAGAATGTGGCATGTAAATTGAACAAATTATTTTCAATAAATATATATAATCTTCTTCCTGCCATAGCATCTGTCACATAATCTCACTACTTTATTTAATTAGCTGTTTATCAAGCTGTATATATACAAAAATGAAATGGCCTAGCCATTAAGTGGCACTGGGCTAAGTGTTGGCAATGACGTTCATAACGGCAATGGCTTTAAAATACCAAACGTTGAAAATTAAAGTCAACGACTTTGAAAAAAATGTATACAGATTTTTCAGTACAAATGAAAGGTTGGTTACTTTAGCAATAATTTCGTCACATCTGAAATGACAGTTAATATTCACGAGTTATTTTTACCTCTGTCCTAACCATATCAATGTTAATTATTTCAAACATTAAATCCTGGTATAAATTGCAGCGTAGCAATATAAATACACATATATAGATATGCATACAGCATTCATATTGGCTGGTGCCGTGGCAGAGTGCCCAACTCTGAACTCACAGAAGTCTGTGAGTTCAAAAGACTCCCATCAGTGGACACAAGCCATCATTCCTCTGGGGTCACCACTTTCTTGAAAATCAAGTCTTATCGTTATTATTTGGGGAAACCGATCCCTGGCATAGTAATGTGGAATTTTAGCTCATGACTTATCAATTTTATTGGCGGTGGGAACCCCCCATGGGGTTTCAATTGTATTTACGTATTAATGCAAATATTGAAAGTTTCAGGATGAAGTTGTGGTGCAGTGGTTATCATGCTGAGTAACAATTGCCAACCACGAATAACATCAGTCGTGAGTGATATCTAAACCGGTTCTAGGTCCTCATTTCACCAACCCACATTGACCAGCATCGAGAAGCATGGTCAAAAAAACCCCATGGTTGAATGACCTGACGTGAGGTCCCTTTCACCTAACAGTGGTTTGACAGCGGACTGTAAATTGTGATTCAATTGTATTATAACGTTTCACTTATTGTTCACGCAATGCTGTTATTTGACCCGTCGATGTTTTTCTGTGCAGGAACATGGCAAAATCGGAGTCAAATTTAATGTCGGCACAGATGACATTGCCGTCGAAGAGGCAAATTCGTTGGTGAATGACGGCAAGTATCATGTGGTGCGGTTCTCTCGGAGCGGTGGAAATGCCACGCTACAGCTCGACAACCTCCCAGTGAATGAGCGCTTCCCTTCAGGTGAGTGCCCCCCTCTAGCCCTGAGTGCCAGGGTAGGATGTAGTCGATTGCCAATGCTTTTGAACCGCTGATTATTTTGTATTTACAAATGTGATGTGTGCTGTGTGACATGAGGAAATGAAGATCCGTATGTTATTCTGTTGATTGTTTTTGTTGGTATTTTTGTTAATATTGATGTCTTAATATATGCGAGTTATATTAGTAAACATATGCTAAGAAAATATTGATACTCAGTTGACAGTGTTGCAAATAACAAAAACTCAACATATCCATAACACTTCCCTAAAGCGGACAACATATTTATTATCGGCCACGATTTGGGCAATGTCCCTTCTTCAAAGCAATGGCTATGCTTTTGCCATAAATAAGAGCTGTTGCCTGAACTGTCAACAATCAAACAGTTATTTATTTCATGATGTGTGTGCATGTAAGATATCAGGATAATTTTTGTCTTTCCAACTAAGCAGTCGTAGTTATTATACTAATAATTATAATTCTAAATAAAGAGATTAGTGGCATAGCACTGTGCTAATAACCGAGCCACCAGAGTTCAATTCCCAGCCATGTGCCCTCACCATCCCTTCACCAACCTGCACTAAACAGTGTGCCAACGTATCGCCAAACAACCCCCATAACCAACACGGCACGAGGAGGCCTTCATCCAGCAGTGGAAAGACAAAGGCCTGTACATTATGCTTTAAATTATTACTTATATTGTACGAATGTCGCAAATACATTTGTAAATGTTTGCGTGAATGTCATTTTTCATTATTTTTGAATAACTGCTTTTCTGCCTTACAAATAAAAATTGTTAATTTTGTATTTCAATATTCATTTGTAGAAATAAAAATTGTAAGGGGAAATTTAGATAATCAGCTTGAACAGGTGGATTGGGTGGAAAATTTTTGCACAAAGTTTCAGTGCTAAACATATTTCATTAATTGACATTATTTCTTACATTTTCATTTATATGAGGTCGCTGTAAAATCTGAAAGGATGACCAATATTCATTTGTTATACTCAATCTAAGTGACCATTTTACTCGAATGAGTAGCCAATTTCACACCTGTTTATGTCTAGGCATTTGTCACCCACAATAAATGTTCGGCCTTTGAAATTTACATAGAAATTAATCCTGGTCTTCCAAAGTCAATGAGTTAAACTATGCTTTGTTTTCAAAGGGGAATTCAATTGCTTGAATACATATTAATGTCACCCTTGCTTTTATTCCGTGCTGTGAACAATAAAGTAGCAGTCGACCTTTAAATGGGTCTACACGTTGATTCTAAGGCCATCACTGCTTTTGTAAATGGACACGAGCTGAAGAGATTTACAATTTTTATTATCCACATACATGATGGAATATTCATTTAGTCAAGGATAATCAAGGAAAGTGAGAAGTCTGCCTTGGGCAACCTTGTGTTAAATTCATCTTAGGAAATTGGGTACAAGTCACGAATGTTACTCATTTTATGCTCTCATATTTTTTAATGCATCCCTATCTAGGACACAGTGGTATGGTGATGTGGTGTAATGGTTCGTCACCCATTCGATTTGATCCCTCACGCATCACCTTTGTCCACCCTGCAGTATAAATTTGTTCACCACATGTCGTGTATGATGGGATAAAGTGTGCGTACTCCCACCTCTTCCTAGATGTCTGTCCAGCATGAAACAGTAGGCCAAATACCCTCTAGAGAGGCTCTCTTGAGCTCCCTGTAGTGGAGGCCCGTCTTAGCAGCTGTGTCATGACCAAGTAATTTCAGGACTGCACCTTTATCTATCACACAAGCATAAAGCAGGACGCCTTGAAACAGCAGATATGTAATATTTAACGTAAGCCATACACGTGAATCATTCAGGGCGGCACTGTTGTTGTGATGGCAGAGATGTTCGTACAGAATAAAAAAGCGAGTCACATGAGGCCTCGCCATCCTGCCTTCCTCCCTTATACTGCAGGAAAGAAAGGCAGCACATGCAGGCCCCCATGCTGGGGAGAGATGTAATTTTGTCCTTGCCCTCAGGAGAGGCACAAATTATGTACTATTCCATATAATTATTATAAATCAAATTTTCGCCCACAAAATGCTTCATTTGAAATGGCATCACAGGCTATATTGCAGGTGTTAGCAGTGATAATTTAGGAAATGATTAAGAGTTCTCTGGTATGCATGTGGGTACAAGGTAATGCTTTGCTTCATACACATATATTTTACTGGCAATTCAGGAGCGGGCACTATCAAAATAAAGAGTGTTTAGCAAGTTTATGCGTTGCTATAAGATTGCTTTGCAGAATGAATTTGTCGCACTTTCGCTCAAAACTTTAAAAATCACAGAAAAATCCAATGGCAAACTGTTTTCTGTTTTTGTTCCTATAATGAATTCCACGTGACCTGAGACCCTCCTTTGTCACTTAATCGGGGCTTCTCTGATTGTTCATATTTGTTTCCCTGGTTCATTTTGTAATTGTAATTAAAACAGCTCATGGTGTACGTGCACATTTGTAAATTATATTACGTAAAAAGGGCTAAAGGAAATATATTTTTACTCGAGATTATTTATGCTTCGCAATAATTATTACATTACAAGTAATGCTTATTGAAGATTCCAAGTTTGCAATTTATTTGGCCTTTTAGTGAAACAGAAAAGGTGACTGAGCATGATAGCATATTTTTATTTTAAAAAATATTCTAGCTGTGACCATATGGCTGACCTTAATTAAGTATATTCTAAAAAAAATGTCACCCTAAAAGCTAAATTTAAAGCTCATCCATTGCCAAACACCTAAACTTAGTGGGTGAATGACACCCAAATTGTAAAAAAAGGCCCATTAATATATTTTTTTCAGCACCAGTCCATGAACATTCGTGTAATTTATGTTTGGCAGATCTTATTATTTGATTTTATAACCACAGGGCCAAGTGAAAAAAAACCGAACCACCTTGTCATTCCCTTTCAGCATTTGGGAAATGTAAAGACCCTTCTCTGATTGATCCCTTTTCAGTGTATTTCAAGCTACATGTGAGTCTTGATTCACAGCATCTGAATGTTTAAAATAATTGCATCATGACTTAATGTTGTAGCTATATTATAAAGTTGGAGTAATTGAGTCAATTACGTGACGTAAAAGCACCCCAATGAAAATTAAACTTTCTCTAGATTTGTGTGGCTCTGATTACTTTTTGCCTTCGGTACACATTAGTATTACCTAATTAGAACAAAGTACTTCTGAACATCGCTTACATTTGTTTTAACTTCTTAATTAAATATAATAGCATTTTCATTTAATAATGGAAGACTTCCTGATTATATTAATTTGTTACAGGAGGGTCCTCATTTGGAATGTTTGGATAGTTATTTTATTGCGTACAAGCTTGGGCACAGTGCTTGTCTCAACACCGCAATCGCGCACAAAGGAAGGCGATCGCATATGTAGGGGCTCATCAGTGTACCACTTTTGGTTCTAGAGTCGAAAGGAATGATGGACAAACAAACGGACATATGCCATATTCTTAGCTCTTTCGGTAAAGTCACGTTGAAGGGAAACAACAAAATAATAAAATATATATAAAACCATAAAAATTCTCACGACGTTTCGACCATAACACAAACGGTCGTCATCAGGTGTGTCGGTTCGCATTAATTTATTTAATTTTTAAGCGGTGTATTTAATTAATTGATTGTTCACGCTTACAGTGGCTTTCAGACAGCATACATTAATTTTTCGTCTCCCCCCCCTCCTCTTTTCAGAACATAGATGGACTAGTCCTTCTAAATAAACTGCCAAATCGCTGCGAGTGGCACTGACGTTTTTATAAATAAATAAATGCACCGTTTAAAAATAAATTAATTAATGCGGACCGACACATCTGATGACGACCGTTTGTGTTATGGTCGAAACGTCGTGAGAATTTTTATTGTTTTCTATATTTTATTATTTTATTGTTTCCCTTCAACGTGACTTTACCGAAAGAGCTAAGAATATGAATTACTGCAGTCACGAAAGCTTTAAATCAAAATTTAGACATATGTCTGTTTAACATGTAGGCTTTCGCGACCAGTGTCATCTACAATACAGGGTGTTTTTTGTGGGTTAGATTGCGTAAATATATGTATGTTAATAGCTTCAAAAGTCAGTCTCCACCTATTAGCCATCACTGTCAACACGTGTCAGGAATCTTCTCCAGGTGGTCTCCAGAGCCCGGAGGCAGCACATTTATTGTGGTATTGTTGCAAATTCTCAGAAGTGATTAACATTTTTTCGAAGCACCCTGTATATAAAAGTGTCGTCAAACTCACCACGACCCGACACAGAACATGCCAAAGTGTAGTGTTGAACTCGGAGGCACACACGTGACTTGGAGGCAACACGTTTATTACGCAGCCCCAACAGGGCTAACTACATACACGTACACACTCTAGACCATAACAGGGTAACGACACTATTTTAACAGGGTAACTACATAACCGGGCCAGTCAGTAACATTCTGACTGACCCACGATGCCGAGCGAAGACCGAAGATCGAAGAGACGTAGCACCGAGGGTTGATTCCAGAGAACAGCCCGGAACGCACTCGGGACTGCCCCTTTATGCTCCTGGGCGTGGCCTCGCTCCGCCTTCAGCCACGCCCCCTTCGAGACTTTTCCCGAAGGATCCTGACCGAGCATCACGTGTCCCTCAAGCCACCCTCGGGCCCCCCTCACTACCCTGTCCCGGTCACGTGCTGTCTCGGGTTCACCCAGACTACTATGTCCTGACTTGCCCTCTCTCAGGCCGTCACCAGGACTATGCCCCCTAGGGCCCGTTCGCATGCCGTACTCACTCTGGCCCCAGAGAGAGGTTCCAGATGCACAGTTGCACTCTTATGACAGTGCCTGGCGCGAACACCAAAGTGACACCCTTAGCGTCACTACACAAGTACAGCACACCGGTGTGTTGGAGAGCAAAGCCACAACATTTACAACGCCAGTAATTACAACCAGCTTCATCAGGCTGTGTG